CATGGATGATATTTTCTTTGAAAAGGAACACAACTTTATGAAAGTCAATATACTCCTTCTGTCCCAAAAATAAGTACATTTCTAGGATTCAAAATTTGTCCCATAGTAAGTGCATTTTTTGTACTTTTCCATTCCCAAGGTGAACTTATTACTTGTTGATATAACCTTTGATAGGGGTATATATGTAATTTTGTAGTAGTACTGGTTTGTCCCCACCATCCCAAAAGGTGGACTTATTTTGGGACGGAGGGAGTAGACATTACTTGTACTATACATTGTTCAGGTGCCATACTAAGAACTTGAAAATGATAATCGTTGAATTACCTCTTCTTAGAGCCTATTTGATCTCATTCTCACATTGAGAATCTGGATTCTATGGTGAATGCAGAATCTTGATTTTAGATAATAAAAAGTAATGGGTGCTTGAATTTCATTCTTATAGTGATTGTTAAGTTGTCTTTACTAGTAAAAATCTTCGAATAGTAGGTTTGAGATAGATAGTTGGATTCTAGAGATTCTAGCTAGAATCCAGGTGTTTAGATCTCATTCTGTTTTCTGACCTCATTCTTATTTCTCTGATGAGATCCAAACAAAGCCTTACATACTTCATGGTAAACTAACATATCAGTGTTATGTTATTAAAGAAAATGGAGCTATGCTCAGTCCGTGCAATCTTTTTTTTTATTTCTTATATCCTATATATAAGAATTCGAAATCCAAAATAAAATTTAAAAGTATTGAACAACGCTTCTCTGAAATTTCCGTTCACTAGTGGAAGCCCTTTTTGCCAGCCCCAATCACATCACAATCATTAGTATCTTATCTTATGTAAAAGTTATCAATTATTTAAAAGCATGCATGTTGAAACCTATTGGTTGGATTATGATTTATGAACTTGACAAAACATGAATATGACCAGCTGCACTGCAACTTCGACACACTCTGATGGCAGAGATGTTGGAGTAGAAGATATTGCACAATAATCCTTGTAATCACTTGGCGAAGAGAACGCCTATGTCCTCCAAGCTCCGGCCTTTGGTCTCCGGCAGCCGCACGTAGACGAACACCGCCGCTGCCACCGCCGTGCTGGCATACAGGAAGAAGCAGCCGGCCATGGTGATGCTATTGGCAAGTGAGATGAACGTCATGCTGATGATGCTGCATGTGACCCGGTTCGCCGCGATGCCGAGGCTCATCCCCTGCGCGCGCAGCTGCAGCGGCAGGATCTCCGCGCTGTAGGTCGGCGCCAGCGGGCCGAGGCCGATGGAGAACGCGGTGACGAACGCGAGCACCGATGCGACGCACGCTGCCGCCACCGCGGGTGTCGTCTCGCCGGCGCCGGCGCCGGCGCCGAAGCACAGCGCGATCCCCAGCGACGTGAGCGTGACGGCAATGCCGGCGGCGCTGGCGAGGAGGAGCGGGCGGCGGCCGAGGCGGTCAGACAGGAACGTGGCCACGAAGATGGAGAGCGTCTTGACCAGCCCGACGGCGACGGTGGCGGCGAGGACGGCGCTGGTCGACGAGATCCCCGCCTTCTTGAACACCAGCGGGGTGTAGAGGACGATGGCGTCGATGCCGGAGGCCTGCTGGAAGGAGTAGAGCACGAGGACGTTGGCGAGGATCCGCCGCACCATCGGCGACGGCCGCACGAACAGCTCCCCCCACACCCCGGCGCCGCCCACCTGCGCCGCGACGGCGCGCCTGATCTCCTCGAGCCGGTCGTGGGCCTCGGCCGGGGCGTCGGAGGTGCGCACCAGCACGGCGCGCGCGTCGTCGTCGCGCCCGCGCATGGCGAGCCACCTGGGAGACTCCGGCATGGCGAGCACGCCCGCTGCGAGGAGCAGCGGCGGCGGGACGCCCAGCGCGAACATGGCGCGCCAGCCGAGCCGCAGTGGCAGGCCGGCGAGCGCGTAGTTGGAGACGTAGCTGAGGAGGATCCCCGCGGTGATGAAGAAGTCGACGAGGGAGGAGAGGAGCCCGCGCGAGGACGCCGGGGCGATCTCGGCCGCGTAGACCGGCGCGACGACGACGGCGAACCCGACGCCCACGCTGGTGACGAACCGCGCGGCCATCAGCGAGGCGAAGCTGCCGCCGAGCGACATGGCGAGCGCGCCCGCCATGAGGAAGGCGTTGGCGAGAACGACGGTGCCACGGCGGCCGATGCAGTCCGCGGCCCAGCCAGCGGCCAGGATGGAGGCCAGCATGAACATGTTCATGGACCCCGACAGCACCTCCACCTGCTCGTCCGTGAGCCCCATGTCGTCGCGCATGAACAGTTCCGCGCCGCTCATCAGCGCGAGGTCTGCAGGTGGGGAGGAAGAGAAGAAAGCACGGCCGGATGCCATTGTCATGAACGATGACGAAGATGAAGCACGTACGACTGTACGAGACGAGAGTAGTAGCAGTGACGAGTGGACCACACGTACTGTAGCCCATGAGGATGGTGGTCATGGAGGCGAGCGTGGCGCAGACGAAGGCGAACATGTTCCGGCGTGGCGGGGCTGGCTCCGCCTCCACGGCGGACGAGGGGAGCAGCGGCTCGGCGGTGACATCGGCGGTGCCATGGTGCTCCGTTGTGCCCATGGCATGGTTTCTTGGCAAGTCGCTGGTGAGGACGACTCAGATAGTGGCCTAGTCACTGAGTATATCGGATCCCAGTGTGTGTCACTGTCAGTGTCAGCTCGGATGCTGGAGAATTATTTGGGGAAGTAAAGGGGATCAAATCGAAGTGTTGATGCACCTTGCAAAGAAGCATATGAACATGGTCCTGTGAAAGAGGACAATCATACAAAGCCATGCGATTCGGTGGTGGTAGGGTAACGTGATTAGCACCGGGTTACCTTTTTGTTTGCCACGCCACTAGCTTAGGAGAATTAATGACAGTGATTATCACCTAACACGTACGACATGAGGGGCCCTTGCTGACATGAATGCCACTAGCTCGGTTCAGCTGTGCTCCGTGTTGTCGAAGCTGAAGGTGGGGAGTGACGACGGGAAGAAGACGACGCTCCGGGAAGCGGATCGGAGTTCAGAGACAGTAGTGAAAGATAGAAGCTTTCAGACGGCGATGGATGGAAAAGGCCATACAGAATGGTGCCCGAGCCGCGTCACCTTCACTTCACATGGCGTAGATGTGATATGTGCATCTCTTGTGGGACGATATTTGGCCATGACACCTGCCGGGGATTTTTTACTTTTATTAATTCCTTTTTTAACTTTGTTTTAGAAATAGCCTCACTTATTTTGTATTTTTATTTTTAATAACACCTTTCGGTAACGCCAATGTGCCTGGCGCGACAAAATCAGCTGTCGTGCCACGTGCGTTAGCGCGGCAAGATCTGACACATTGGACGATGATTGTTAGGTGGAAAACCTTGTCACGTTGGCATGACAATATTATTTTGCCGCACCAACGGGAATGGCATGGTAAGACTCATCCTTTGAAAATCATATTTTTCGATATGATGTTAGATGAAGATGATTTTTATATGAAAGTTGTATATCTCGATGAGATTAACAACTTTTAAGATTTTAGTTTTTCATTTGAGGCCATTTAGATGTAAGAAAAAATAATATAAAATTTCAGCAGCGTAATAATCGCATACTAGCGCTTGTTGCATTAAGAAAAATAATGTCTTTCTTGTATGATGTCAAATGAAGATACTTTTTGTACGAGATCTACAACTTTATAGTTTTGAGATTTTATATTTGAGGTGGTTAAGATGCTCGAGAAAATAATATAAAGTTTCAGCAGCATATTAATCATGTATCAGGGCTTGTCGCCTCACGAAAATTGTATCTTTCTCATATGGTATCAAATGAAGATAAAGGTGTAGCTATCGATGAGATCAACTAGTTTTTTTTTTTGAGGTTTTTCATTTGAGAGAGTTAAGATACTTCAGAAAATAATATAAATTTTTAGGAACATATTAATGAATTAGCATTCTCTGGTCGTAGTCTCCCACAACCCTATCTTGGTCATTCAAGGCATCTACATGTCCAAGTTCAGGAAGGCATGGAGTCATCTATAAGACAGGAAAGGGCTCACACGGTTGCTACCAAGTCATTCTATCATCTCATGATCGAGGACCCATGACGAATACTATCATGATGATACTGATTATATAAAGTAATACTATCATGCATGATGATGACTATATTCACATTAACAGCAAGCTGTTGCTGGGACATGATGTTACGGACATGGGCTACTGTTACTATTAGCTAATGGGTTTCCTGGGCCTGATTTGCCTTTGACTGGTTGGGATTGGCCCATGTATTTGGCTGCAGAGAGATAGGCATGAGAATATATTGTAACAAACTCATACTATTCCTAAATCCTGTCGTGGTTATTCCTCTCGAGTTCATCTTCTTCCTCCAGACTCCTTCCCTTGCTACTTTTCTGGATGCACCGCTAGGACTTCCTGCTGCATTACTGCTCTATTCTAACACTATGGATCCACACGTACTCTCGGACTATTCCTTTTTCTTTGCTCTTGTTGCTTTCCTTCACCTGTTGACTCTTCGTCGCCCGTGTCACACCAATCATTGGGAGTGCTGAACAATTATTCTAGAGACGTCAGACCCTCTGCAGATACATAAAAATCACCAGCCCGGAGCAGCTGACGATGTCCCTATCTGTTGGAATCGGCTGCAGTTCTTCTTCTACTCTCAGCAATTGTCAATTGCAAAGAAAGACCCGACCCATGGTGCTACTGCTACGCATAAGAATTTTTCTTGGCAGTGACCTGTTCCTCTCCATCAGGCATTTATTTACGCCTTGAATGTATCAACACGAACTTACCATTGGCACACACACGCATGCTCATACCTCATACAGCTAGTATATAGCTGCAAGAACCGAGCGCCTGAGCGTGCCCTTGAAGTTGCAGACAGACCAAAACAGCAAAGGCAAAGTTCCCGGTAGTCATTCGCTTTGCTGCCTGAAAAGGAAACTATAAAACCAATCGCTGAACCTTTGCCAACGTTGAAGAAGATCAATGGCGGTGTACGCATCATCCGAGTTCAGCCGGGTGTTCTCGGCGTTGGACCGCGACGGCGACGGCAAGCTGTCGGCGGCCGAGCTGCGCCTCTGCATGAAGGCGGCGCTGGGCGAGGACGTGTCGGCGGAGGAGGCGGACGCCGACGGCGACGGGCTGCTGAGCCAGGAGGAGCTCCTGGCGCTGGCGCTGGCGGGGACGGCGGCGGGAGGAGGAGGAGGGCGGCGAGCTGCGAGCGGCGGCGGGAGCTCAGGGAGGCGTTCGGGATGTACGCCATGGAAGGCGAAGGGTGCATCACGCCGGTGAGCCTGAAGCGGATGCTCGGCAGTGCTCGCACCAGGACATTGATGAGTGCAGGGCCATGATCTGCAGGTTTGATCTCGATGGCGATGGTGTGCTCAGCTTTGAGGAATTCGAGATCTTTTTTTTTTTTGGAACATGAGGAATTCAAGATCATGATGGATGCTTAGCCGCATAGCGTAGCAGATTGTACTGAGGCCTTGTTTAGTCGCTCCCAACTCCCAATTTTGACACTACGTAAAACGAAGATTTCCCGTCACATCAAACTTGTAGTATATGCATGGAGTACTAAATGTAGATGAAATTAAAAACTAATTGCACAGTTAAGTTGTACTTTGCGAGACGAACGTTTTGAGCCTAATTAGTCAATGATTGGACAATTATTACCAAATACAAACGAAATGCAACAGTGCGCTGCACATGCGTACAGTAAATCCGGCGGCGCCGAATTCGGCCAACTAAACAAGGCCTAAGTGTGATTTATTTTTGGTGCTTGCTCTGTTTAGTGTGTCCTAGTTAAAATGTCAACTACTACTACTAGTTTCTGTGTCAGAACTCAGATCATGTATGAAAAGCGAGATTGTTTGCATGTATATGGCCATTTTTTTAATTCTATCACTTCTTTCTATCATCGGTAATACTATGGTGCCGGCATCTGAATGGACGGACGCCGCCTCCCAAAGAAAAAGTGTCCACTCCACCTCGCGCGCTGGCCGCAAGCTCCGCTCCCCGTCCGCCGCCGCTATCGGCGACCACCTCCGCTTCCTTCTCCCTAGGCCTTCGCCGCCTCCGCGATGCCAGGCTTCGCCGCTAGAGTCGTGACTCCCACCCGCCCCTGCGCTCACCGCTAGCACTGGAGCTGGTGTCCTCCTCACCTCCTCCTATGGCGGGAGACGGCGAGGGCGTCGCGGTCGTGTCGTACATTGCGCCAGCCTCGAGGCTATTCGCACCCTAGTGCCCTAGCGGAAGAAGCTCGCGGCGGCCAAGCCCATGGTGCTCTTTGCGCTGCTACCTCTGAACCCCATTTTGCCCATCGAGGCGGTTATCGAGTTCCTCAACACACATGACATGATGGTCGCCTCCCACTAGGGTGTCACACCTGACATGTTGCAAACGTATGTTTCGTATGTTTCAAATGTTTCAGATGTTTCATAGGTATGTTGTAACTTTTCGTATGGATGTTGCAAAAGTAGACTGAGATGTTGCATATGTTGCAATGGCTATACATGTATGTTGCAAACGTCTGTTCCAAATGTTTTATCTATTTTTTTCAGACATAAGTTGCAAGTGTGTTTATCTGGATGTTGTATATGTTTTACACATATGGTGCAAGTATTTCATATGGATGTTGTATATGCTTGCAGTGGCGTTCAAGTGTGACTCAGGTGTTTTGCAAGTGTTGCAGATGTATGTTACAAGTGTTTTATCTGTTTCGAACGCATGTAATGTTTCATCTGGATGTTGCAAAAGTAGATCGGGTGTTGCGCATGTTGCAATGTAAGTGAGAAGTGGAAGGGGTGAGAGAGGTCCCCACGCGTGGTCTTGCGGCGCGAGCGACGTCCGGGCGGCACAGGCCCCGCGTGGGCACGCGAAACGCAGGCGCGGCCGGGGGCGTGCTGGCACGAGCACGGGAGTGGAGTGCAGGTGCGCGGGGGGAAACGGAGTGTAGGCATGGGCGTTTGAAAAGAAATCGGCTAGGGAGGAAAAAATTCACCCAAGGAGTGATATAGACAGATCTTGAGATACCAAATAGATATACAATCATGACATATTTTACGGTAGAGTTAATGGATCAAACTAATCTGCTATATATTCTAGAGGCTTGTGTTTTTTTCCCTATAAACTTGGTTGAAGTCGAAGCCGATACCAATATGTTGTCAGCCGACTTTACATCTGCATAACCCTACCATTGATTTGGTTTGCAGAAGACAATATGGCAAATTAAAAAAAATGTGAATTGCCAGTTATTTTTCCTAGGAACTGGCCGGAAGAGCATCAGAACACGGTAAGTAACGGCAGCATGTGAAGCTTGACCTAGCTAGCTAAGAAGCGTAGGAAATGGATAATTGTAGTTTCTTTCCGGTTTCCGGTTCTTGTCAACCGTTACTAAAATGGCCTCATTCAGCTGCCTAAACAAGACTATTAGAAGAAGAAGAAGAAGAAGAAGAAGAAGAAGAAGAAGAAGATATACTCCTATGAGTATCAAACTCGCGTGTCACTCAGAAACGTCGTGCCATTTTAAAACAGAATCCACCTGTTTTGGCCTGGCTAGTAGCGGACTAGTTTGACCGATAGCATTTCGTTCTCCCAAAAGGAGCCTCTGCCTGCCTGCCGCTGTTCCATGAGTGCATGCCTGTCAGCATCAACAGCAACCGATGAGCAACAAGTTCAGTCCTTGCCAGCACGGATCATGCATGCCATGCGCATCTATAAATTCCATGCGTGAACGTGAACTCCTCACCAGTCGGCAGTTGCAGTTACAGAGACATCTAGCTTATTACTAGCAGCTTTTTTAGCTAAAGAAAAATATTCTGGCCTCTACATTCACGCTGAATGTATATAGCCCAATCTAGCTTACTAGCAGCTTCAGCAACTCTAGCTAGTTGGATTCATATTCTGTTGAAATGGCTTCGCTGGTTCATAAAAGAAAATAAAAGAAATGGCTTTGCAGATTCAATTTCCAACTGAACGTAGAACCCGTCGAATCGACCGAGCGAGCAGAACGAAGCGAGACGAGCATGCAGCAGCGAGTGAGTTTTCTTCTTCTGTTTCTGCAGCTATATATGGATCATCACGCGGTGGCGGCGGCGGGGGTGTACCGCGCACGGTACGGCACGGCACGTATTGGATTCATATTCAATATGGCAAGAGGGGATCCGGATCACGAATGGCAGCGGATCGCAGCAACAAATCTACAAGATTACATGCATGCTTCATGCATGGGAGGCCTGGTCTGCATTCCCCTGCAAGATTGGCAGTATATTCGCTTATCGGTAATGTTCTGGTGAGGACCACTACGTCAAATATCATTTTCAGGGGCGGCTACAGTGCATTTGTAGGGGCGGTTCGGCCAGCCGCCCCTACGCAAGGGTCTCTACAAATCATGTATTTGTAGGGGCGGTTCCCAGACCGCCCCTACAAATCGATTTGTAGCGGCGGCTGGTGTTATCAGCCGCCCCTACAAATCGATTTGTAGGAAAGCGGTTAATCAGCCGCCCTACAAATCAATTATGTAAAGGCGGTCTGGGAACACCAAATTTTACAAATCGATTTGTAAAGGCGGCTACAGATACCAACCGCCCCTACAAATTATTTTTTCACAAAAAAAAAATTAAATTTACAATTCAAATTCATGGTACCTATACTTGCAAAGTGACTCAAGTACATGCTTTAGCCGACAGTCCAATACACAATGACAGAAAAAAACCAAATACCTAAGTAGATCTTCATGGTACCCAAGTTAATATAATACTCTCATGGATATAATTTAAATACAATCAGAAAGTTCATTTAACTTTAATTATCAGAACACCCATTCAATATTACATGCACAAGCAATTTGTGGAGTAAAATAGAATTGAAAGAAAATTAATTGTAAAACACATCATCAATCAGTATGCAGGTAGACGGCTTGGTGGGGAGACAAGAGCACCTCAGCTCGGTGGGGAGACACGATACACTAAAGAAGTCTTGCTCCTTGCTAACACAAGAACTTGTTGAAGCCTCGCCTTCCTGCTTGATTTAATAGTTAGCTTTGCACAGGAATTCCTTGCTTTAACCGTTATCTGTGCTTGCTCTTTGCTTTCATGGTTACCTCTGCACAAGGATTTGTTGCTTTAATTGTTAGCTCTTCATCAAGAATTTGTAAATCATTGAACAAAGAATGTAGTCCTGAATAACCTAATCATATACATACCATATATTAATCAAAGAATGTTTGTTCAGGAATTAGGAGTAGGCTTATCCTGAATTAGCATGATACTACTTATATAAAATAAATATGCAATCCCCGAATAGCAAGCCCCAACCTCGCTAAGCGCTTAGCAACGCATGTGCACGAATTTCACTATTTTAGAACTGAAATACACATGGCATAGATATGCCGTCCACTTGATCTTGTGGGATCAAAATATTATGACGGTATTGAGATCATCACTGATGCAGGCTCTATTTTTATCAAGTGACTTATTCTCAAATTCTCATATCCAAACAATAATTTGGAGCAAGGGCCAGGGAAGACAAAACCCCACTGCATTTTGACGCTTTATGCAACAAGAAAAGGTAGTATTATCATCATCATCGCTGGAATATGAACTTGTGCAATATTTGAGAAAATAATAGCAACTATGCATAAGAGAATAATACTTGGGCTCTGCACAAGTTGTGCTATGGGGAACTTGTCGTCGCTGGCCTGCTCTTCCGATTCGGGTCTCTAGGTCCTGAGAGCACGTTGAGCACATTCAAAATCACAGTAAGGCATATCATTTAGTCGAAGTTCAAGAAAGTTATTGCGCTTGGTTAACAGCAACAATCAACAGATCAGAAAAGAAACTATAGCTTCAACTAGCATATCATTTATAGCCCTACTAACGGACATTTTCTGCACAGTCCCATTCATACAAGATTCACATGGTTGCTGAAATCCAAACTAGGAATGTTGTACACACACACAACAATAAAGCACATTGAGAAAAAACAGGTAGGAAGAACATACTTTCCAGAAGTGTTCCCGCATCCAAGTTACTGAACACAAATATTTAGTTGGAGTCAATGTTATCTTACCTGCTGCTTGTACAGAGACAGAGGAACATAGGCCGCCTCCTTCCTGAAATGGTGAGAGACATGATTACAGTCACAAAGACCAAACTCAGAACCTCACGTTAATGGGCCACGAGCATGTGAACTTGAATCCCATATGCGCCAGTAAGGCAGCAACATACAGTAGATGATTTGAAACAATAACACACAGATAGTAGGGCAAAATCAGTGGCAAAACCTGGGCACGA